GGCGGGGCCGAGCACACCCCAGGATCCAGGGTTGTTTTCTATATATAATAATAATAATAGTTTAGCTATAATCAGTCTGGATTCCAGCTGTCACCTCGCTTTTGAAATGGCCGTCACGACAATAGACAGTGATGCGTTACTCTATTACACACCACCTTGCCCCGTCAGTGTGAACAGAAATGGTATCATATAATGAATATCACACAATAAAAACACCCCCAGGTTGATCTTCACCATCTGCCCTGTTTTGGTTGAATCTCCTGTTAATATACACTCAGTAGCAGCCAGATGTTCAGTTTCCAGCGGAGCACATCTGGAGGCAGATGGAGTTACCAGGAGGCATCGTTCAGAAGGAAAAAATTGAGACAGATTTCTCTTGCCCAAGTTACATTATCCATTAAAATAATTCATTTTAATTATGTATCCCTTAGTGCCATCCATTTTCTTCAACGTCTGAATTTCACTTCAGACAGAAGACATTCTCCCCGAGTTCGTCAATGTAGCACAGAAGAGGGGGGGTCTATAGCAATGAGCACAAATCACCAATATCGAATTTGTTAACGTACCGGCACTTGCCCACTTCTTACATTAGCGGGTGATCCCATTCCTTACACAAAATGGGCTCTTTTCTCACACCCGCTCAGGAACAGATTACTGGGATTTTTTTCTTAGTTCCCTCAAGCCTTTTGAAACACTGAAAGGAAGACAAGCAAATAAACTGGGAAGAAATCCGTGAAAACTCAACCTGCACTGTAAGGGCTGATTTCGGTCGGACTGTGCGTGCGTGTGCATGTGAGTGTTCTGAGAACATCATCACAGCATGGACTGTCACACTGATGTCACAGCATTAAGCGGTATTTGAGCATACTTTAAATCCAGAAAGACCACGATCTATTTGATCAAGGCTTCTGGATTGGTAACTGTGCAAGAGATAAGAAATTTAAGCATTGAGACTTTTCTAGACTCTACTCTTGTACAACTAAGAATAACTTCTACTAGGGCCCAACATTAACTATTCAGCACCCAATTTCATTTTTTGAGAAGGGGGGGGTAAGATCTTTTACAAAATACTTGATCTCATCATTTTTATTTTGTTTGGTTTTGTACAGGAACCTTGGCTGCAATTCTGATACTGGAAAATGCAAGTGAGGTTTTCTCCTAAAGCAATTCAAATTTTCAAAAGCCGCAGAACCAAGCACGTCCCTATTTATAAGCAGAAACATGAGAAGTGTAGCCACAAATGTCTCTCAGAAATGTATTATCCAGCTACATATTGCAGTTACAATTACAATAGTAAAACAGCACAGAGTGCCCCCATTAGAAAGATTCATCAAATATTTAAAGACATAATTTGACAGACTGTAAACAAGAACGCAAAATTACATTTTCCCCCAGACTACCAAATATTTTCTAGCCATTTAACTGCTTCAAAACCACACAAATACTACAAAAAGGATGCAAATCCCAGCGGCAAAGTGAGCACAACAGCCACCTGTTTCCAGATGCGAAGCAAATGCAGCTGATGGTGTTATTTTCATCTCCGAGCTCTGCTGCTCCCAATCAGAGGCTGGACCCACCGGGCACCCACCCTGGCCCCTCTTCAGGGCAAGCTGCAAACCACCGAATGCTACGAAAGCTGCTGAGAGAAGCCACAGAGTTCCAACCCCCCCACCACGCTCCACAGCTGCCCCCGCTGGTCTCTGTGCCTAGTGCTGGTTTCTGCACCCCAGAGCTGTCCCCTCGCTGGGTGCCGAGCCACCACAGGAGCAGGGAGCAGGCAGGAATCCAGCTTTAATTGAGATTTCTCTCCGATTGCATTGGGCAGGTCGGCCAGGCCAGCAACCCCAGCCCTAGGGCAGTCCCAGTCAGATGTTCTCGATGGTGCAGGCTCGCACACGGCTGGTGGACAGGCATTTCAGAGCCTTGAGTTTAGCCCCCAGAGTTTTGACTTTCAGGGTATATATGATGGGGTTTCCCAAACAGTTCATGGTTATCAGCATAGCCGTGCAGTTTCGAAAGATGTAGACACCTGGGTAGAGATCAATGGGACACTGATGGTTAGTTGCATCGAAGATGACTCCTGCAAAAAAAGGAGCGTAGGAGATCAATGCCAGGAGCCAAATAAAAATACTGGTTCTGGCAACCTGGATTTCAGCTGATTTGTAGGTGCCAGTAGCCTGTCCACATGCTTTCATTCTCAGCTTTCTTTTCCTCAAGATGAGAATGATCCTAAGGTAAGTGAACAGAGGTATGATAAAAGCCACCACAACATTGGGCATGGTGATGAAGATGAGATAGTTGATGCAAAACGGGCTGTAGAGGACAGAGAGATTTTTTTCCATACGCAAGCAGTTCCACCCCATCAATGGCAAGCAGCCCAAAAAGAAAGCAAGGAGCCAGTTAATTAAAACTACAGCTATGGAATGGTTTCTAGCAACCCTGAATCTTGTCCTCATGCTTTCAGCCACAGCCAGATAGCGTTCAATTCCAATGCTTACCAAGTTATAGATGGTGGATAAAATAGACATAGTATATAACGCATAAGGTGCAAGCATATCCTTGGATCCAAAGATTGTAATGTCAGGGTTGGTGATGAACAGCATTGAAATCCAAAAGCCAGAAAAGCTGGTGAAGAGATCAGAAAAAGCCAAGTTGCAGAAGAGTATAGAGATAGGCTTGTGCAGGTCCTTTGTCGCCATTCTGGTGAAGATGACGGTGCAGTTGAAGATCACAGATGCTATGTTAATGGTCAGCTGAGGGATGCCCAGTGCAAGCACTAAATAATGACTCCAAATTTTAGTGTGGTTAGCTGAGCAGTTTGGGTATCCATTCATGGTGAAAAATCCTACTTCCAACCATTCATAAGGTCTGCTTTACACATCTCGTAGTCCTAAGAGCCCACACAACATGAGAGTTACTGCCACCTTGTTTTCCAGGCGAAGAATAAATCCTGACACACAGCTTCTGTTGTCACGTCATCGTCATGACACTGGATTAAACTTTAACCACTCGTGTTTTTAAATATTTGGGTTGCCAACTCAGGGCATAGCCAATTACCTTTAAGTTGCTAGGGTAGCCAAAAGTGGAAAACACGTTTACTACTCTACAGATTATCTGCTTAAAGCAACCTTTATTAAGAGCAAAGTCTGGCCAGTTCTTGTGGAGATGAATGATCACATCAGTAGTGTAAATGTTGCTAGGGATATTCTAAAGCAGAATGAATGTGAATTCAGCTTTAATTCACGAACAGATTTGACAGGTAAAGGATTAGAGAGTCAGAAAATGAAGAGCAGTCATTTTTTGGTTTTGGGTGGGGGGAGTATGTGACTGATGAAACTCAGAGAACAACACGTCTTTGGTGTCACTAACCTGGACCCCAGGCCGGTGAAGGATGCAAGTCCTAATTTCAGATCAACTCTGCTGACATCACCAAACTTCTGTTGAGCTCAAGGTTGAGCAAAAGACAACGGAATCCAGTTGCTCACTGTCTCTTGCTTACAATTACAAACTGACCGGCCAACAGTGGCTGTTTTTCTAAGTACAGTAAGATCATATCTACAGAACAACCCCCAAACTCTTAAGCAAAACCTTACGATGGACTGCAGCACTTTGAAGGAGATCCAAAAAGGTAAGAGTCTCTGTCTCCACAGGTGCTCCATGCTTGGGCCCACAGAAATATCTCAGTACTGAGCACTGGATAACTCAGAAGCTGTCCCAATGCACTGGGAATTGTACGGCCTTTCTTATCTGTAAACAAGGGTTATTTAATGAATTGTTAAATTAACTTAATTTTTAAACAAGGAAATGAAGGAGAGTTTCTTAACCCTCTAGTAGATTAATTGTACTTAATTGGACTTAAGATGCCTAAGGTGTTCTGAAAAATCCCATTTTTCCTGTCTTAACTCCTGGGTGAGAATGTTACCAGAAAACAACAGCCATCTATACTCACAGCTTTGTTATTTTGTGTTCGCATGTTCAAAGTTAATGTGTAACTTGTACATCAATAAACCATCATGATATCATTAAAACTTTCCTTTCTGTGTCTTTTTAAAGATACACGGTTTTTGAGAACCAGGTTTAAAATACTTGCGGGCAAAATGCGGTCTGGACGTGCATTCAGCGCTGTCAGACAGCAGAGGGCACTGCTGGAACAAACAACGCAGTGCACAGTGGGGAACGTGGGGTTTTTGTCACTGGAGCGGTTGAGGTGAGCAGTACATCAGTATAGCAGTATAAACAGCACCGTGGCTGTTTCTCCTACGCAGAAGTGGCCGCTTTAGTTTGCTGCTGTTGGGTGTGGGTCGCCTCTGTGTCACCCCCCCCCCTCGTTTTACCCAAAATGCCCACATACTAGGAGAAATCTCCAGCACGCCCTGGCTGCTACCTGGTATCTGTCTGCAGCTGTGCAGCCAGTTTTAGCAAGCTTTCTTTTAGCAAAATTCACCAGGTAAAGCCACGTTACTTGCAAAGTTATTCCAAGTTAATTTTTTTTTTTACTGTCATCCTAACAAAGGATTAATTTGCATTAGTAACAATTTTATATGATGCTATTGCAGCAGCAGCTCAGTTAAGTTTATGGGCTTTTCAAGTTCAGTGTTGACATCTGTTCATTACAGCAGCACTTCCAGCTCTGAAACGGTAAATCTGTGAACTATATGATAGCTCTGCCAGAACTTAAAATATAAGCAATTGGTATGAAAATTTGGGCTTGAAAGGGAAAATTATATAGCTTTTTTCTATTAAAGCTGAAAAAAGTATATTCAGGTTAGCGCACAATTAGTAGTAAACACTCATTATATACTAGAAATGCTTCATGTAAATAAGTAACAGGTATTTCAGACGGTCACAAGGAAGTGCGAAGAGTGATTATACAGAAATGAAGGCCAAGAATTGATTAATCACGTCTGCTGATTTTTTATTAACCTATAAAATATTCTTCTCGAAGTGTCACAAAGAAACCATTCTTTGTGCATCCTACGGTGAAGCTCAGGCAGCCCTCTCAGCCACACCTTTGGTGGGAAGTTGCTGCTGGGCAAGGACTCTCCTGTTTCTGTCACCTCGTCAGTGCCAGCCCCAGGAGTCAGCGAGTCCTTGACCAGCAGCGAGTGTCAGCAGTAACGCACGGCCCAGCCGAGCATCGGTTGAGGGTGGCAGAGGACACCCGACCAAGCCACTCCTGAGCTCTTCTGACTGTGCTTTCCATGGCTCTGTGAACTGAGGGAGGGGATGAGGGCTGTGATGAACAGCAGGCTGCCCACAAAGTAAAACATCTTCAAAAATACCCCAGTTACCGAGAAAAGCATAGCTGTGAACCTGGGCTCCAACATGCCCTAGATATTCCTGGAAATGCTACTTGAAATTTCTCTAATTTGAAAACTTGGTGTTCAAGCATGAAACACTAAATGATATGAGATCAGAATGTAATTAAAAATAAAATCAAGTAGTATAAATAGCTCTTCACAAAAGCTTTGTAATCTTATTTCCCTATTATGACTGCATAAAAATTAGCATAATGTTGCTAGACTAAAGGATACAGTTTTATCTTGGAAACTGCTTTTTTAGTGTGCTTCAACACACCAAAAATAACAACAACAGATTTTTATATTCCATCATCTGTAATAAAGTTTGAGCTCTCAAACCCAGTTGAAAAGCAGTGTGAATTGAGAACAAACCCTGAGTGAGGCAGAGAGCTACTATGTAGCCAAATCTGTACATATAACAATCTTGATTCAAAGATATTCGTGTACTCCCATATTCTGGGAACTTGGTAATCTTTCTCGTACTTGAAGTCACAACACGGCTGTGAGGAAAAAGCATTATCTGCATTTCACAACTGGGAAAAGAACAATCACATCATTTGCTTAAGATCACACAGAAGTCCAGTCCAGAGGGAACTGAATCTAATGTCCTGTATCTCAGGCTAACTCTTTAAACACTGGCTCTGCCTTCCTGTTGGCAAGCCTTTGAGTGATATTTATCTAGATTTCACCTTCTGCAACACTCTTTATTCTATAATTGCTGTTATATTTCCCTATCTGAATGTCCGAATGGCTATTGTTTTATATTTGTCATGAGTAAGAAATAGCATTCTTTCCGATAGAATCTCAAAGTTCAATAACTGTTATCTAATGATGCCTGTGGAGAAGAGAACAGTCACTGAACGTGCTGAAGAGATTGAGACAGAGACATGAGAAGCTTCGAGCTGAATTTTTAATGACAATTCCTTTCAAGTGGCCATTGTGGAAAATCTAACTTCACACAACTGAGCTCACAGTTTCAGAAATGCCCATAACCTGCAGCTCTCAGGTTGCGACAGGAATCAGAAGTGCTCAGCAGCTCTCAGAACAACAGACCCCAGCTGTGACACACCAAAGCTGATGTCAGAACAGGAAACGAAGACCAGGAACTGAGAGCCCGCGTTCTGTGCAGTAACCCTTGGACAACGTACACTTTTACCTTCGCGTGATGCAGCAGCAATTCTCTATGTCCTTTGTGCTGATAAGACACTGAGAAACTTGAATTATGCCTGAAACTACAGGAGAAAAAGCTCCATCCATGTAGTGGAAACAAGAACCCCATAGCACAGTTAAGCTACAGATGATATGATGTTCCTTTCCAAGTCATGTACACGCATTACATGCATTAGAAAAACAAGGCACTGAAAGGACAAGGAATTTTGCCATTCCGGTTTCTTTCCTGCCACATTCTTCCTGAAGTCACATCCAATTCCTACTCCCATTCCTGAAACACCAGACCTTGTTTGTTGTGAAGTGTCACAGTTCAACTTTCTCCTCAGTTGCCCCTGCACTCCAACTACAGACTTTACCAAGCTGTGGACAACACGCAACCCGAGCCAAATAATGACAGGTGACACGCAGGTTGGCTTAGTATTGAGGAAGATGAATTTTTGCTTTCCATGACGTTCAGCAAAGCCTTGAGAAAAGAATATCCATCTGCTCAGTCTTTCAACAGGCATCATGAGGCCTGCAAATAAGGAACATTCAGGAAAGGGAGTAATACAAATAAGGAGCCTATTTATCCAATTTATGTTTTAATTTATGCAGATTAAAATCTTCCTCTTTGGAGAGGAAGACACAAATGGGCTGTATGATCTCCTTCCAAGATTTTTCTGAGATGTTTTCAAAACAGAAAGCTCTCCACTCCTCCTCCACCCACTCTCTTTGAGGAGTTTTTGCCTCACGGGTTTTGAGTTATCTGATGTCCCAGCTATGCTTTCATGGCCCTCACCAGGAACATAAAGTGAAGACAATCATCAGGCTTGAATGAGCGCTGTTTAGCATTATGTTAGCTATGAGCCACAAAATAATGGCAAGGACAGCTTGTTTCAAGAACACCCACACAAACCAGGCCCTCTCCCTGTCTATGCAGAGCCTGAACATTTCACTGAGATGTCAGAACTGTTATTTTCACCTTTAAGGAATTTGTATTATGCTCTCTGAAGGGAGACACATATTAATAAATACCTGAAACCAAACCTGTGCAGTAAACAAAGCCTTCCACTGATAATCTATATGGGAAGAAGTCAGAATGCATCTTATCCCTTTAAATGTGAAACAGTCCACAGGAAGGGTATCTTCTTTCTGAACTAAACAACTACAGAGGCTCAGTGAGGACCCTTGTTACAAGAAAGCAATGGTCAGAAATGTGTGGGCTTCAGAATCAGGCAAAGCAATGAGAAAGACTGTAAACACCTAGAGCTAAATATACAGCTTAGAGACACGCGTCCTTCAGAATGCATCTTCGTAATTCTAGGAAATGGTGAGCTGCACACTGCTGGTGTTTCACCGCTCACCAAATGAAGACCACTCAGCCACATAAAGAAAAGCGCTTTACATAAATACTGGGAAAAGGGGAGAAGTTCAGCTTTACTAATGATGGCATCACATCACGCAGGGTCTAGTCCTCAGGTGCAGCCTGAAATAGATAGCAAACAGTTAATGCACCAGAATGGAGCAGAAGGTCAAGTAAAGAGCCATTGCAAAGTCTTCCAACAATTCTGTGGAAATTACCTGGTATTAGAACAAGGTTCTCAACAGAGCAGACTCGGGGAGAACCATAGCCAGCCCACATTGTCACATGAAAGACAAAGACTTAACACTTCTGATTCACCAACTGCTACTGCTCACGAAATTTCAGATTTCTTTTCCATGGTCAGGGAATTCTAGTGAAGAAAATTACAACACACAGCTACCTGAAGAGCACTTAGTGTGTTTTGTCACTCTGAAGGCTAGATTTCCCCATCACCCAGTCTCTAATAACAAAATTCACCTGTATTTTAAGTCTCTTGGAAGTGCTTCCCTCTCCCACTGCAGGCACAATGCTTCCCAAGTCAGCTCATCCATGAACAGGATTTGGGCTCAGGTCAGTCTCACCCTCACAACCCTTAGATCTTCCTCCTAACAGCAACAGCTCAGTGCCCAGCACAAAGAGCTGTGCTGCCACCTTGACTTTGACTGAGACTCAAGGGTTTGTACCAGCATGTCAGACCCAGCCTGCTCTCATCCCCTGCACTGCTGGGACACGGGGGGGCTGCAGCGTTGAGCTGGAAGGTTGGGAACAGCTCTGGACTTCCTCCACCAGCACATGGTAGGATCATTTGGCGCAGACACAGGCGAGCTTCGTTAGCTGTCACGTCAGTCCCTCCGAACTTCCCGTGAAGCGCTTTTGGTAGCAGCAGGGTAATGTCAGCTCTCATGCATTCCAGAAACAAGGCTGGGGGAAACATCACCAGAATATTTGCTGTGGCTCTCAAGGCCACAAACTAAGTGCACTTTCCCCTGTTTTTTGATATTTCCTCCTGTTCTTACCTGTCCTGTAGCTATGGACACTTCTGCAATCACTATGCCCGAAAAAACTAGCCTTGAGTTCAGTGATCTGCAACAGACTCCCTGCATAACTTTGTCTCTTAGCTTTTCTGACAGAGATCTTCATTTGTATTTAGGTTCACTGTCCAAAGGCCTTTATGTAAAACCCACCTAGTGTGCAATTCCTTTAAAAAATACTTCTCGGTGCAAAGATGCCGTCCAGAACTGATAACCAAGCACCTGCCAGGTAAGTTTCTTTAGACAAAAAAATGGAGATTACACGATGCCTGCCCCGTTGACTTAGATTACAGACTTTATAAAGGAAAGGGAACATCTTTCCCTGAGTCACTTTCTAGCACAAATAAAGACTTAGTTAATGTGACTGCAGCACAATTTATTACTGCTTTAATAACAACAGTCTGTAAGGCTGACAACAAGGGAAAAAAAAACCCCAAAACTAACAAAACCAGGAATCCTGAATTTCAAGATCGAAATTTCTGACCTTCAGATACTTGAGTCCTAAACAGAAGGTTTCTAGCAGGCTCCAGATTTCAGAGAACTAAACACAAGTAGAACGAAAAAAAAATCCTCAAAGAGCTTTGGTTCAGCTCCTCCACTGAAGACTGTTCCCGGAAAAGAAAAATAAAAGAGCCCAAGAGTAAAATTTCTTGTAGATGCCCTTGAAGGTTGACACCACCCGACACCGCCACGTTCACACCGCCGTTTCTTTCTACGTGCTCAGCATGCACCTTGCTTAGATAGCTCCAGCGAGACTGCCAAACTAGGATGTGAAAGAATCCGACCAATTCCCTTATTGTTCTTGTCACCGCAGTCACTATTTATCTTAGCTCCATGTGCTAGGCAAATCATCGTCTGTTCATACTTTAATCTACCTAATCCAGGATGGAAAAACACCACCCAGCAAACCCTCATTGTTGTAATGTTATTTATAGCCATCCTTTTTATGAATAAAAGACATGCTCATAAGTCAGCTGTCAGATTTCCCATTGTTATTGCAGGTCCTGATCCTGTGCGACCCTACTACTGACAGCGGAATGGCCACGCTCTTCACCTGGGAGCCTGCAGCAGTTGGTAAAGGCAAGCAGCACTTTCTTGACTCCTTTTTTTTTTAGCTCAGCCCTTGCTGGATGACCAGGCTTGCTCAGCACAGGCAGTATAACCCCACTTCACTCCGTCCACCTCTTCACGGAGGAGCACTGGGTCAAGCATCCTGCCCTTCTTCTTGCACCCACCCCAGCACACGGGTTGCATCCCCAAGGACTCAGAGGCATTTGGGGAAGGTGAAGAAGTTGCACTCCCTCTTCTGTTTTCTTTAGCTGTATCAAAATCCAACGCCAAATGAAAAGGTGAAAATGGGTTCATAATAGAAACTCTAGAGCAAAAAGTAGTAGTGCCACTTCTCTGTACATGCCTTTGTTTGTTGAACATAAAGCCTGAATTGCCACTGAACCAGACACACGGAATTACAGCATTTGGATAGGAAAGCAAAGGGCACAGGAAAGAAAAAGAAACGGCATGTACTATACTATAGTACCAGAGGCAGGAAAATTAAGAAAAAGTATTATTTAAAAAAAAAAAAGGACAAAAAACCCCAAACCAAAGAAAGAAAGAAGAGGTATGCTCTCAGATAATTCACTAAATGCAAAAGCATATGTAAGTAAGGTGTTGGTATGCCATCCAATAAACATTTCCTGCTACTGCACACCGGAGTGCCATTTTCCAGCCTCACAGATCCACTCCAGTCCTGAGCAGCTGTTTGGAGGGTTGTAGGGTAGGGATGGGGGGTGAGGGAGTTGGATTTTTGTTTGTTTCCCTGACGTTGTTTGATAAAAGCCACTAACTTTGACACACATCAACTGAATGTCATGTGGGCTGTCAGGAAAAAAAAAGCTAGCAGTAAATAAAAATGTAGCATTTTAGTAGTAGGTTACTGAATATGCATAGGTTGCAAAGTATCAGTTATTCACCACAGGGTACTTGCTTAGTGCTAGAAAGCTCTATTTCTTTTGCCATGTGTTTGGGAGAAATGAATAAATTTAGGCAAATCAGGAGTAGGGTAAATCTGGAGAAATTACAAAGGGGAGGAGTTCACCTTCCTGGCTATGGCTTTCAGGTCTGTCCAGGACTACTTACTCCAGTATAAAACTGAGAGCAGAAATATGATCACATACTGAGAAGTCTAATCAATTCTGGTTTCAACACCGAGCCTATTTAAAACAGATAATGGAATTGCTGTTCCTTGTTCTGCTCTCTCTGCACATTCTCAAGACAGAGGCAGTAGGTAAGTCCTTGCCTGCTCTTTCTAACCCCATGTACCACGGTTACTCTAATTTATTATTTGTTTCTGAGTATCAGTACATGCAGTACAGACTCTCTAACTCTTCTCTATGATAAATGAAGAATGTTTTATTTGTTTCTCTGTCTTTTATATTTATGGTAAAATATCGAGCATAGACTTTCCTCATGAATGAACGAGTGGGAGTTTTTTTCACCTTTAGAGATTCTAGTTGCCTTCCTCCTCCAAGAAAAATCAATGAGGTTGACTTGATCTCTATGGTTAGTTATATATGTAAATTTAAAAAATCAAAATGTAATTTATTTTTCTGTAAACTTCTTAAAACTTCAAATAGCTTGTTTCAGTTTTCTACTCATTTCACTTTGTGACAGAAAGAAAAATGTCTTTTGCTGCATTAGCCCAGCAGATCCATCTATTTCTGCACTCTGTGCACTATGTACATAAGTACACTATGCACTTAGGATGACTAGATTAAATAGCGATCTATAATTAGTATTGAAAAATGCAGAAGGTATTTTTATGCTTCTGTTAGATCAGCAATGCTATAACATTGAATAAATCACCTTTCTTATGTAAATATCAGCACACAGCCTCAAAATTAAAGACAAACACTGCAGTTCTTAATAGTAATGAAGGGTCTATTGTTTGCACTAAAATAGACTAGACTGCATTAAGGGAGAAAAAGAGATACAATATTATCAGAGGTATCAGAGGGAAGCACTGCACCAAGAGCCTGTTAAAGGGACAGGTTTTTAAAGCAGATCAAGATTCAGTTGCCAGACTTAAAGTAACAGAGGTCTGAGGTGCTCAGAAGGTGCCTTAAGGAGCCCAGCCTGGGCACTGGGGAACACAGGGCTGTTTCCCACATTTTATTTCTCTGTTCTTTATTAACTCTCCATATCCCTGACTCAGTAGCTTACCTTTTCCAGATTCTTACCTGACAGTTAAAATACCTTCCCTCTTCTGTAGTCTTTATTTTGTAGATAATTTGTCTCCAGAGGCTTTCTACTTGTGGTACGGGTAAACAGAAACACAAAGTACCTTTGCTCTTCCAAAGTCTACAACCAGTGTTTGCTTGGTATTGATTACTGACTGATTAACACTTTGCTAAATTTACTGCTCTATTAAGGGATTTATTACAGGATCTTGAAAGACTATTTAGAAAACCTTTACGAGCTTTATTTGATTAGCATTAATAATTAGTGCTTTAGCAGACGGAAGTAAGATAGGAAATGCGTATAATACTTTTTGTTGCTTTTTTCCCCCAACCACGATGATTTCCACTTTCTTCCCTGAGCGTAGAGTTAATTAATGACTACACAGTCATTAATGAACAAGAAACCTCCTCTCACCCCACTTGCTTTTCTAAACTTTTTCCTGAGGTAGAAGCTTCACAGGATGCATTTTGCTAAGCAAAACTCTAAACATTTCAAGGAAACTCAGCTTTTGAGAATCAGCCTAAATTGATTTTTGTTATATCTGGAAGGTTGTTTTTTGTTTTATTTTTCCTATTTAATTTCTATCTTACCACTTTTCAGAACTGGCTTGAGTCATATCCACTTAGCAGCTCATTTAACATACCCCCACCGGGGCTGTTTTTCTAATCTGGGCAGCTTCATAACTCACCACACTTAAATAGTCAGTATGACTGATTGCTAATCTTTCAACTTGCTTTCAGTCTTTACCTATCTTAATATAATAGCGCCTACATTTTAAACTTATTATTAATAGTCCTTATAGGGCTTTATAAAGAAGCAAGGTTCATTATCCCCATTCTACAAAAGGGAAACTGCGGCACGTTTGTGCAGCCACCTGCCCAGAGCTCGACCACCAGCAGGAGTCTTGAGAAACCATCTAGCTTGAATCTCTGTCCAGCATCTCATCCACTGACTTACATGGATCTCAGTTAGCATAGTCCATTAATAGCTGCACTGAAGGATCTCAGATGGCTCACTTGAGTCCTTCAAGAGACCAGTGACCCTCTGGTACTGCTATTAGACAGGCAGGAGGGAGACGCAATGTCTGCAACATTCCCTCAGAATATTCCAAACCTTTTCAGAGAGAGTTTTTATTAATGGTAGGTTCAGTCTTGTGCCATCCAGGGAACAACTGTTGTAGAGGACCATAATCTACATCCATCTAGAAGCTTTGTGGTGAGGTTGCCACAAGCTCCAAGTGTTAACTGAAAAATAATATTCTTTAAGAGGAATGGAATGAACCCCAGCATGTTTTAACCTTTTTCTTTATCACAGAGCAGCACTCAGCCATGAGAAGACATTCTCCCACAGTCCATGCTCTAGTGCTCCAAAAGATTGATGCATGATAGAGCATGATTTCTCTAATTTTCTATATTTCTACTTACATACTTTTAACTTTCACAAACACAAAATTTACATAACCATGCTGGTGCTGACGTTGTCAGCATTAATTCTCAGTCTGATGTTTCCTAGGGCCCTTCTATACAAAGTATACCTGAGATCTCTATAGGCAGCATAAAAAGAGATGCACTAACTTCTTCCATTTCCACTTCTAATGTATAGGCTCCATACATATTTGTAATTGTATTTCAAATCCATTTTAGGGTTGGCAAAATTGGGCTGCCAGTGCACTTAGATACACTCTGAGAATAAATGTTGCATTTTCAGTAGTTTAAGAAGCGTAATAACTGCAATATAAGACCTAGAACACATAGAAAAGGCAGTAAAACGCAGCTATTTCAGGCAGCAATCCATAAGTGTTTTAGGAAATATGGATTACCTGAATTTTCCTCTCTCCACCTGTCTAATCTAACAAACGAGTGAATGACAAGTTATCACTGACATTATCTCAAAGTAGTTACCTTGACTATCCCAGTGCAGACAGACTTTTGATCTCAAGTTATGATCTTCATGCAGGACACACTGCTTAGAGCTTCCTTCTTTTTATTCCTGTAATCAATCAAGCTCCCAAAATAGATTTAAAGGTTTATATGAGTCTTCCTACTATCATCCATACATATCAATGTGTGCCATCGTTGTCAGACCCACTGCATGCAAGAAGAAACAAGAGTTCACATTTGCCAGGTTGCTGAGTGTGCCTTGAGAGCAAGAGATACCCACTGATACTGCCCTGTGCTCTCCCCTCTCCCCTTTCTAGCTACATAAACTGCACAAGCAGCTTCAGGCAGCAGAGAATTTTCTAGCTTTGTTATCTGTGCCAAAGCAGTAGCAGCACTTAGTATCTTTAAGACTCTGATTTTCTTTTAACTAATGAATATAAGAATTAAATATGGATCCTGCAATTAAATAGTAGCAAGTGAACTCTGTAAGAGGAACTGTTAGGGTGAACAGAGATTTGGCTTATGATTGCAGGTGGGTTATGGCTGAGAAAAGAGTGGTCAAAGACTGCTTGATCTAAGGATGCAAGTCCTGTAATTTCAGAGCACACTTATTTCCTTCCACAGCCTGTGATCAAGGCACAAAGTGGTAAGGCACTGAAACAATTTCATTCTCACTCTCTTTGACACTAAAATTCAGTAGAAGACAGAAAAGTGCTTGTGACAGAGCAGCAGATGAGGCAGTGGAGCCAGAAAGCAACTCTTCAGTTAGCTGTAACAGCCTCTTTCATTTTGAACAGAGGAGAATCAAGCCCAGCAGGTAAAGGAACAACACTGTGTATCACTGGAAGACTGCTGAAAGGCAGCTACAAGACAGTACTAGAGCCACATATGGAATAAACTTTGAAATGTTTTTAACTTCTTCCATTTCTGTAGCCTGCCAGGCGTGGCATTCAAATA